AAGAAATTAAGTACTGATACATACATTATAACACAGTTGAACCTTGAAAACATACATTATGCTTGGTGAAAAGAAGCCAGACACAAAGGATCACACCTTTTATGTGAAATGTCCAAAATAGGCAAATCTCTTTAAGAGACAAAGTAGGTTGGTGGTTGCCTGGGAAGTGGGGCAGATACTGGGGGAAAAGGAGGAATGACAGATGGTGGGTATGGGGTTTCTTTTTGGGGTGATGTAAATGTTCTAAAATTGATTTTGGTGATGGTTGCACAACTCTGTGAATATACTAAAAACCACTGAACTGCACACTTCGGGTTATAATTGTATGCTATATTAACTATATCTTAATAAGGCTATTTAAGAAACAAACAAAAATATTGCAACCTAGTAGGAATGTTAGAGATTAGTACCACCACTAAAGACCTAAAGGACACGAGAACGGTTTCTATAATATGTTCTTTGAATTCTCCAGTCTGGTCCCTGGAGAAACCAGGTAACAGCCTTAATCACCTGTTGGTTCCTGGAAACAAGGAGTTCAGAGTCCTGGGCAGCAGCTATAGACTGTGGTTCAACGAGATCCTTAATATGTAGCCTAGGAAGCTGTGTTCCCTCTGGGGACTTGGACCTTTATTTAGCTCAGCAGAGCCCAGAGTTCCAGCGACACAGTCCTGCAGTGGGTCTTTGGAACTGATGGTAAGTGGGGTCTCTCCCACTTCTATTCCTTAGTTCCTGGGCCATGTATACTTTCTGTTGTGAACACAGCCTCATGGTGCTTCAGCTGTGAGGCTACCCGCTTCTGGATGGTGTGGGAGATGACGTGACTAATGGATACAATGGTCATGAGCTCATTCCTGTACCTCCTCCTCTGTGAACTGGGTCCCCTGGGAGGAAAATTCTGCATGGGTTTCTATCCCTACGGAACTCATATTCTGAAAGCCCCCAGATAATCGTGCTGGCTGAGGTTCTGCAAACAGGAAAGGCAAACCCAGGTCTATAAGTAATTTCAGGACAAATTACTGAAACTTTCAGAATGGAAGGGGCTCAGTTTAGTAAACTAACCACAAAATGGCTACGATCATGAGGGTTAATGGTCTGTAGTTTTATTTCCTCATATAGTTTTTGGTATCAAGAGTAGTGCTGGCCTCATGAATGAACTGGGAAATGTTCCCTCCTCTTCTAGTTTCAGTAAGACATTGTGTAGAATTGAAATTATTTTTTCCTTAAATGCATGGTAGAATTTAACAGTGGAACTATCTGGGTTCAAGGTTTCTTTGTTGGATGGTTTTTAACTTCAAATGCAATTTCTTTAAGAGATATAGAACTTTTCAGGTAACTCTTCAGAACTTTTCATTTCTTATTAAAGTTTTGGTAGTATGTGTCTTTAAAGGAATTGATCCACTTCATCTAAGTTATTGAATTCATGGGCACAGAATTGTTTATGGTATCCATTATTATCCATTTAATGTTTGTTGGTTCTGTAATGATCCTACTTTCCAGTTTCTCAAGATGGAACCTTAGATTAATGCTTCAAGACCTTTTTTTCCCCTAATATAATTTAATGATATATATTTTTCTCTAAGCACTGATTTAGCTGCATCCTACCAATTCTGATGTTGTGGTTTTTTTAAATTGAAGTACAGTTACAATGTATCAATTTCTAGTGTATAGCACAATGTCCCAGTCATGCATATACATACATAAACTCATTTTCATACTTTTTATTAAAGGTTATTAAAAGATACTGACTATAGTTTCCTGCGCTATACAGAAGAAATTTTTTTTTCTAATCTATTTTTATATATAGTGGCAAACATTTGCAAATCTCAAACTTCCAAATTTATCCCTTCCCCCACCCTTTCCCCCAGTAACCATAAGATTGTTTACTATGTCTGGGAGTCTGTTTCTGTTTTGTAGATGAGTTCATTAGTGTCCTCTATGTTGATGTTGTATTTTTATTTCATTCTGTTAGAATATTTTCTAATTCCCCTTGAGAATTCTGATTTGATGCATAGATTATTTAGAAGTATGCTGTTCAACTTCCAAATATTTGGGGATTTTTCAGATATTTTTGTGTTACTAATTCCTAATTTAATTCCATTATAGTCAGAGACCATATTTTGCATGATTTCTATTCTTCTAAAATTGTTGAGGTATGAGTTTTGACCCAGTTTATTCAGTAAACATTCCATGTGCAATTTTAAAGCCTACGTGTTCTGCTGTTGTTGGGTAGACAGTCCATAAACGTCAATTAGATAAAGCTGATTTGATTACGTTGTTCAAGACGTCTATACCTTTACTCAGTTTTTTGTCTACTTATTTTAACCAATTACTGAGAGAACAGTATTTAGTTCTCCATGTATAATTCTCTTATTTTCCCTCAGCTTAAAATACCTTTATTACACTGTCATTTTCAAAGGATACTCTTGTTATAGAATTCTGAATTGACTGTCCTTTTTTTTCTTTGCTACCTTAGTCATGCTGTTTCATCACAGTTTCTGATGAGAAACCCATAGTTATTTGAATCACTGTTGTCCTATACATAATGTGTCATCTTCCCTGGCTGCTTTCAATATCTTTTCTTTATCTTTGGTTTCAGCAATCTGATTATAATGTGTTGAGCATGGTTTTCTTTGCATATACTTTCTTTGGGTTTCACTGAACTTCTTTAATCTGTAAATGCATGTATTTCAATAAATTTAGAAGTTTTAGCCTATTATTTCTTCAAGTACTTTTCTCCACCAATGTCTTTTTTTCTCTTCTCCTCAGACTTCAAATGACCCAAATATTAGACTCTTTTAACATTGTCTACAGGTCCCTAAGGCACTACTAACTTTTTCCAATCATGTTTTTCTTTTCTTTGGATGAAATAACATCCACTGATTATCTTCAAATTCACTGATATCTCCATTCAGTTATTATCAGGTTAATTTTCAGATACTATATTCTTAAGTTTGAAAATTTTGATTTCATTCTTTTTTTGTAGGTTTTATTTCTCTGCTGAGAAAGCCTATCTTCCCATTCATTTCAAGATTCTTTTATCTTTGTCATGAAGCATGGTTGTAATAGTTATAATAACTCCTTTAATAAAGGAGGGTTTTAAGGGTTTTACTAATAGTTCCAAAGTCTGTATCACCTTAGGATTGGCATTTGTTGATTGTCTTTTCTTTTGAGAATTGGTCATATTTTCATGATTTGTAGTATGTAAAATCATTCTGGATATATTTTGAATTATATATATATATATAGGGGGAGCTCTGGGTCCTACTAAAATCCTTAACAGCTTTACAGTTGTTTACAGCACTGGGTTAAGTTCAAGGCCCTCTTGCTGCATCATGGATAAAACTGGAAGTGTTAATTTTTTTAAACACTCGAGACAATTTATAACACCTGAATATGTCTTTAATGTGATAATAATAAAAAGCCATGTTTAATGGAAAAAGGCTAGATGCATTCCCATTAAAATTGGGAACAAGACAAACATCTAACCCTTTTATGACTAAACATTATTTTACATGTGTCAAATAATGATATTCAAAAAAAAGAAAATAGTGAAGGGTACCAAAAAAACCTCCCATACATTGAAAACACACATTTCTAAGACAAATGCAAAAAAAAAAAGAGTATAATAATAACATAAGTATAAATAAAAAAAAAACTCAACCACTTTAAAAACTCTCTCCAAGCAATACTTGTGCCACAGAAGCAATCAAAGTCAGAGGTTATCGAACTTGAAGTTTACTCTAAATGTGAGTATAAACCAGAAATTTAGCTTCATTTTTCTTCACATGACTATCCAGTTGACTCAATACTCTTTCCTCAAGAATCCAAAATTCCCAAACTGATTTCAAATGCTGTTTCTATGCCACACTAAGCAGAGTGAGGGAGACCCTTCTCTAAACAAGAGAGACCGGAAGCTCTCTAGTTGGTGCCGTTGTCTGGATCTTCAGGAACAGCTTCTCAAACATTTGCTTCAGCAACTTCTTCCCTTCAATTCACTTTATTAAAACAAAACAAACAAACAAAAATCCTTCCAATGTGGAATACAGAAGAGTGGCTTCTGTTTCCCTGACTGAAATCAAGTGTGGCACCAGAGAAGCCTCCTGAGAGGCTGGTGTTCCAGGAAGGGTCAGCTCTGTCAGATGCTGCTGCAAGCATGAGGAAGATGAGACGAGATAAACGTGGCACCGTGGAGGTCACTGGGGACCTTAGTGAGAGCAGTTTCATCAAGTGATGCTGATAGGAGACTAGAGTGAGAAGTAGAAATGACAGGGGCAGGCAACTCTTTTAAGAATGTTGGTTATTCAGGTGAAAAGAGAAGCGAGTCAACAGCTAAAGGGAAAAATGAGGTCAAGGACGTCAAAGGATGGAATGTTCAAATGGGAATAATCCAGCAGAGAAGGAGAGATTACTGATATCTGTCTCTACCAATGCTGGTAGGGTGCTGCCTCTGGCTTCGGTAAGGACTCTGACAGACGGGCACAAGGACACACTGTCAGATTCAGGGCCCTCCTGGGAACCTGAGATAAGTGCTGATTGGAGCTTGCTCTTCTGGGACAGTGAGGTAGGTGGAGGTAGGGGGAAGGCAGCATGTGAATGAAGGGTGCACAAGAAGAAATGTATCCTCTTGGTAGACCCTCATCATCTCTTTTCTCGATCAGTGTATTTAATAAATGACTGGAGAGACAAAGAATGCATCACCTTTAAGTAAAACACCAAAAACTGCAAAACTGGAATAAGATCGTCTCTGATCAGAATTCAATTAGAATAAGATAATTCCAGGTTTACATTCATCCTTTACCTCTTCATTACCTTACATATGTTTTTCATTATAAGATAAATGGTACCAGGGCCATGTCATCGTGGGGATACTTATATTTAACTCTTTAAAATTTTTACAAATTCTTATAAGATACCTTGTAGAATATAGGTGAGAAGTTATCATTCTAACCTACTGAGAAAAAAAATCTTAGCTGTTTGAATGAAATAAAACGCATACTTACTCTGAATAATATTTCTTCATTCCATTTTGGATTCAAAGTCTAAAAGACAATAAATATAGTATAACTAAATTTTTAAATATTTTGCTACATAAAAATAAAACATAGTATATTTAAAATTGTTTTGAATAGTGCTGAGTCTAACCTTTTTAATGGTTTTCGTTTGCACACTTGTAAAAATTCCATTCATTGGGTCATACAATGTCACTCTCACATAAGGATCACTGTTAAAATTAAAAAAAGAAGTTAATTGTTGCTTATTCCCAAACTCAGGTTACTCAAACTATAAAAATCAAAGAATCTTCCCTGTTAACAATTTCTACAAATTATTTCCTACACTTAAAAGTAAGGGTTCCTTAGGCAGGGGTAAGTAATTACAGTCATTTTTGTACCTTGTTAAAAAGCTAAAATTAAAAAGAAATTTTTGTATAACCCAGTAGAGCAAAGATTTTCTCCTATGTCTTCTTCTAGAAGTTTATTAATTTTGGCTCTCATTAATTTTCGATACTACGTGTGGTAAGGAAAAAGTCTCATTGTGTTCCATCCAGATAACCAGCTGTCCTAACACCAGGTACTGGAAAGACTACTCTTTCTCTTGAATTACCTTAATGCTGAAAGCAAGTGACCACGTATGTGTGTATGTGTGTGTGTATATATTTCTACACTCTTTATTCTAGTCCATTGAACAATATAACTGTTCTTAAGCCAATGCGACTGTCTTGAATACCTATAGCTGCACAGAAATTCTTGAAATTAGGTAGCGTAAGCTCTCCAATTTTGTTTTTCTTTCTCAAAATTGTTTTCACTATTCTATGTCCTTAGACTTTCTGTAAAAATACTGGAATCAGCTTATCTATTTCTCAAAAACAGCATGCTGGGATTTTGATTGGGATTGTGCCAAATCTACTCAAAAAGAGAGAAATACAACTCTGACAATAATGAATCTTCCGATCCATGAACATGGCTTATTTAATCCATTGATTCAGATCTCCAATTTCCCCCAGCAATGTTTTGTAATTTTTAGTGTACAGTTCTTAAAAATATTTAGTTAAATTTATTTCTAAGTTTTTTATTTTTACACGACTGTAAACAGAGATTTTAAAAAATCATTTCCCAAGTGTTAATTGGTTGATAGGATGTAAAAATACAACTAATTTTGGTACATTGACTTTGTATCTTGTGGTCTTGTAGTTTCAGCAGCTTCACTGAAGATTCCTTAGGGTTTTCTAAGTATATGATCAGATTGTTTAAAAATAAAAACAGTTTACTACCTTTTCAGTCTGTATTATTTTTATTTCTTTTCCTTGCCATATTATTACATGGCTAGGACATTCAGTACAGTGTTGAACTGCATGTGAAAGCAGACAATCTTTCTTATTACTGAGTTTAAGTAGAAAGCATTCAGACTGTCATCATTGGGTATGATGTCAGCTACTGTTTTCCTCAGAGAAAACCTTAATCAGGTCGAGAACTCCCATCTGTCTCTAGTTTGCTAAGAGTTTTTTTCATGAAAATGGGTGCTGAATTTTGTCAGATGCTTTTCCTGCATTTATTGAAATGATCAGCTTTTTCTTTTATTCTATTGATACGGTAAATTACATTGATTAATTTTCAGATGTTAAACCAACCTTGTATTTTATTATTAGTTTGCTGAGAGTGTTCATCATAAAAGGGTGTTGAATTTTGTCAAATGCACTTTCTAAACCTACTGAAATGATCATGTACTTTTTCTTCTCTTCTATATTAATATAATGAGTTACAGTGATTGATATTTTTCAAATGTTGAACAAACCTTGCATTCATAGGAAAAATCCCACCTGGTCATATATTGTTGCTATATATTGTTCAATATAGGGTTATTCAAATTTTCTATTTCTTCTATGATTAATTTTGGTAATTTCTGTCCTTGAGAGATTTTGTCTACTTCATCTAAGTTGTGCATGACTCTTTACTGGCAGAAGTCATGCACCGTGTTCCTTTTTTGTCTTTTTCATTTCTACAGGATCTACAGCCATGTCCCTGCTTTTATTCCCACTTGGTAATCTGCACCTTCTCTCTTTTGCTTTTCATCAGTCTAGTTAAAAGTTTAAAATTTTTATTGATTCCTTCAAGGAACAAGTGTTCAGTTTCAACGATTTCTATTGCTGTTCATTTTCTATGTCATTAATTTCTGCCCTTATCATTATTATTGTTTTCCTTCTACTTACTTTGGAATTAATTTGCTCTTCTTTTTCTAATTTCTTAATTTCAGAACTCAAATCATTCATTTAGATCTTACTCTTTTTCTAAGTTAAGCATTTTAAAACTATAAATTTTCCTCTAAATACTATGTTAGCTGAATCCCACAAATTTTGAGATTGCTAAATATTAATTTTCATTCAGTTCAAAATATTTTCTAATTTATCTTATGATTTTTTCTTTGACCTATAGATTGTTTATAATTTTATTGTTTTATTCTCAAATATTTGGGGGTTTTCTAGATATCTTAATGTTCCTGGTTGCTAACTTAAATCCATTGTTATCAGAGAACATTTCCATATGACTTCAGTCTTTTCAAAATTCTTGGGACTTGTCCTACGGCCCTACACATGGTCTGTATTGGTAAATGTACCAAACACTCTTGAAAAGAATGTAAATTTTGCATTTGTTTGATTTACCATTTTCTGGCCCAGCATAATATAGCAGACAGGCTCTAGGTAGCTCCTTTTTTTTTTTTTCAAGAAAGCTCCTTTTATCCCCACCTCCTAATGTTCATGCTTTTAACGGTGTTCGCCTTCTCTTAATGTGGGAAGGACTATGTATTTTAACCAATACATGACAGCACAAGTGACAAAATAGTCACATTACAAAAGATTGTAACACAACCATGCTAGGAGACACTCTCTCCTTTGACAGCTTTGAAGAAGCAAGCTGCTAGCCTGTGAGCTACCATATGGAGAAGACCATGTGGCAAGGAACTTAGGGTGGCCTCTGGCTGACAGCCATTAAGAAACTGAAGCCCTCAATCTAGCAGCCTGCAAGGAAACGAATATTACCAACAACTCTGTGAGCTTGGAAGAGTATGCTTCCGCAGATAAGCTTCAGACGAGACAACAGCCCTGGCCAATACGTGACTGCAGCTTCTAAAGCAGAGGAAGCAAAGGAGCTAGTTAAACGATGACTTCTGACCAACAGAAACTATGAGATAACAAATGTGTGTTCTTTTAAGTGGCTACATTTGTGGTAATTATGGTTGTGCAGCAATTGATAAACAATACGAATTTACCACGTGCACCTGAGAAGAACGTGTTTTAGTTCATAACATTGTCCAACTTTCTGTTTTCGTTGATTTTTTTCATTTAGTTGTTTTATTAACTTCTGGGAGAGAGCTGTTAAGGCCTCCACCTATGATTGTGGAATTTTTTCTCTCTCCCTTTAATTCTGTCAGTTTTGCATCATATATTTTAAAGTTCTGTTAGCAGGTACAAATTTGATTTTTTATCTTCCAGATGAATTTATTCTTATATTATTATGAAATACTTCGAAATAATTTTTTTGTGTTGGAATCTATGAAAATATCCACGTCTTCATATGCTTACTGTTTGCATGGTTATTTCTTTGCATTCCTTTTCCTTCAGCTTAACTGTGTCTTTGTCTTTTAAGTGCATCATTTACAGACAGCATTTACTTGGGTCTTCTTTTTTATAATAACTTCTACCTCATATTTACCTTAGTCCATTAATGTTTAATGTAATTATTGACATCATCAGATCTGGGTCTTTCAAATTATTATTTGTTTTCTATTCTTCCCTCTCCCCTTTCTCTCTCTTTCTTTTTTGAGCGCTCATTCTTCTTTTCCAGGTGTTTTGTTTAATTATTTTATTTTATCAAGAATTTCAGTTTTAAATTTCTATTGGTTTTTAATCTATACTTCTTTACATTATTTTTTAGTGGTTTATCTATGTATTACAATATACACCCTTACTTTATTCCACTTACACTTAATATAGTATCATTCTACTAAAAATGGTTCATAACCCACACCCAGCCCTGTCCTGTACACTACAGTGGTTATATGCATTCCATCTACATATAATATAAATCCTACAAGACAATGTTATAAGTTGTGATATAAATAGGCTTTTGTTTTTTTAAAATAATGATGAAAAGAGTAAAAAGCCTTTTGTATGTTCCCAGATATTAACCATTTCTGATGCTCTCATTCCTTTCTGAGGATCTGAGTTTCCATTTGATACATCTGGTATCTAGGCTCTTTGGCTGGGAGAATGACCTTTATCTTTTATTATAGTGTAGGTCTGCCAATGATAAAGTCTTATCATTTTCTTTTATCTAAAAATGTTGTTATTTTGTCATCATCCTGAAGAACACTTTCACTGAATTTAGCAGAGAATTTTAGACCGACAGTTTTTATTCTATTGTTCCATTTTCTTCTGGCCTCTACAGTTTCTGGTGAGAAGTCAGTACTCAATTGAATTATAGGTCCCTTGTGTGTAATTTGTCATTTTCTGAGTTTCTTCTACAAGAATTTTTCTTTATACTTGGCTTTCAACAGCTTGACTATTACGTGCCTCAATATGTTCACCCTGGTGTTTAACCTGCTTGGTGTTTTATGATACTATATACATATTTGGGAGAAAAATGTGGCCATTATGTCTTCAAACAATGTTTTGCCTCATTCTCTCTCCTCTATCTCTAGGATTCCAATTACGTGTATGTTACACTGTGTGATATTATCGTAAGTCCCTGAGGCTCTCACTTAAAAAAATATTTTAAATCTTTTGTTTCTCTCTCATCTCCAACTAGGGAATAACTTTATTGATTTAAGTTCAATTAATTTTCCTCTTCATCTCCATCCTGCTGTTAATTTCATCTAAGAATTTTAATTTCAAATATTCTATTGTCCAGTTTTAGAATTTTCATTTTTTATGGTTTCTATTTCCATTCCTGAGATTTTCTATCCTTTGACTTATTATAAGCATATTTTCTTTTCTCTATTGAGAATGTGTTTCATTCTCCTGGTTTTTAAGCAGATTATATAGTTTTGGATTATATCTTAGATATGATAAATGTTAAGTTGTAGAGACTTTGGATTCTGTACTTTCTCTTTGATGAGTGTTTGTTTTATATTTTATTTTATCATGCAATTAATTGTCTTATTTAGATAAGAGCCACAGACTCTGTTTATTGGGCAGCAACCCTGATCTCGGTTCAAATCTTTTGTCTTTAGCTGAGTTGCTTTGAATTTGCTATCACATGTGTGATTCACAGTCGGCAAGAAATGCCAGACATAGTGTGAGAATCTCCTCTCTGGTTCTTTCCCTTCCAGAATCCCCGACTTTGTCATGCTGTCTTCAGACTAAGTCTTCTGATTTCCCAGACCATGAATATTATACTTTTTCCATGTTCTGATTCCGTGTGGCCTCAGACTAATTAATAAAACTGGGGGCTCAGTCAGTGCAACTTCCCCTCCAAACATGGACTCTTCACTAGACTACACCTGCTCTGTTCACCCCCTACTGCATTTCAGTTGCTGCCTTTTGTAATATGTTCAGAGTTTATGGTTGCTATCTGCTCAATGGTTAGTCTGTTAGAATTTTACTTCTTCCCAGAAATAGAACTTAAGAGTGTATCTTACAACTACCACTCTAAGTTATACTTTTGTCTAATTTCACAAACTCAGTATTTCAGATATCAAGGAATTTAGTAAACTAACTGGAAACATTATTCTACCTCATATAACAGTTTACTAATAATATTATTCAATTGTTCATCTACCCAAAATTTAGAAAAAACTAATTAACAAATGCAAAGTTTTAAAATTACAACCGAACTTGCCAAACTTACCTAGCTCCCAAGATATCCTTCTTGGCAAGGCCTATTCCAGCAATAACTTTTACTCTCACAATTCGGGAATTTTCCTAAAATGCAAAAATTTATATTTTATTTTCATGTAACTTATAACTTATTTAAGACTTTAAATATATATACCAAATAAGGTAATCAGGACATTAAAATTAATCAGAAGAATCTTTTTCAGGAGTTAATTTGATTAAAAGTTATAGAAAAGAAAATGAAAACCATATTATTTTTTGTAATGACTTGATGATCTACAAAAAAAAGCCAAAAAAACTATAGTCAAATCATCACAGTAAGTATGAGTTTATCACTGCTTCCAAAAGAATCTAAAGCCAAATTATTGGAACTGATATGAATTTATCATTGTTGCTCTGTACATGAACAACACAAGATTAAGAGCTCATTTGTAATAACTATTTAGACAAGTAATTATTTTTAAAATCCCACTCACTAAACCATATATTAAATAAAACTATAATGTATTAATATTGTAGCATATGAAACATTAAATTTCTGGGCATAATAATACTATTATGAGGTTTTATATAAGAATATCTTACTTTTAAGGGCTACATATTGAAGTATTTAAGGCTAAAGTATGATAAAGTTGGCAACTTACTCTTAAATGGCTCAGCAAATAAAAATTTAAACATGAGGGTGTGTGTGTGTATAGAAAAAAGGGAAATTAGCAAAAAATTACCAATCCATCGATCTAGCTGATTAGGTGCTCATTATACTTTTACTTACTGCTCCCTAAATTTAAAAATGTTCAAAATAAAAAGCTGGGTAAAAATACTATAAAACAGAATACATACTTCAAAAATTAACAAGTAAGCAAAACTGTTAGATACAGAGACATAAAATTAATAAAAAATGTCAAAAAAACTTTATAAAGGATAAAATTTGTAAATTACTGAAGAAAATAAAGAAAACATATACAAATGAAGAAATTTACTGTGTTCATGGATGGAACTATTTATTATCTACTTTCTCCAAAATAACTTATAAATTCAATACAATTTCAATTCCCCTCACTGAATTATTTCATATATCTTAACAAATGATTCTAAAGTTCATAAGAGAGAGTGAAAATGAGTAAAGAACTAGACAATAATATTTGATCACTATCTTATACTATATATAAAACCAAATTCCATTTGCATTAAATTCTAAAAGTGGAAAAGAAAACTTTCAAAATTTCATAAGCTATTTTAAAATCTTTTTATCACTGGAGTAGAAAAGGATTAAAAAAAAAATACAAACCCTAGTGGAAAAAGTTGTTAGGTTTGACACTAAAATTATGTCTCTTTTGTATGAGAAAAGATGCCATGAGCAAAATGAAAAAACAAAGGGACAAATAGGGTGGAAATATCTAAAATACATACCACTGACAAATTATGATTAAAAGCCAATAAGTGAGATTTAAATAACAAAATACTAGAAATCACAGAGAATGGCCAATAAACACATGAAAAGATCCTCAATTTCACTAATATTAAGAGAGAACTCTAAAACACTGTTGGTGGGAATATAAACTAAAGAATCATTTTGAAGAGATATTTGTCAATATCTACTGAAGTTCTAAATCAATAACCCAGGAATTGCACTTTTAGATATATCCCCTAGATAAACTCTCACTCATGTACACAAGGCCATAAGTGCAACAGCATTCACAGTAGCATTTATAAGATCAACAAATGTGAAATAAAGATTGCCCAACAGAGAGCAACCTGATTCTGTTCTAAAATTATTCCATCAGCCAGGTGAATAGATAAAGATGTAGTATGTATTATATACCATGGAATACTACTCAGCCGTTTAAAAGAATGAAATTTTGCCATTTGCTGCAGTATGGATGGACCTGGAGGGCACATGCTAAGTGAAATAAGTCAAACAGAGAAAGACAAATGCTGTATGGTATCACTTATACATAGAACCTAAAAAATACAACAAACTAGTGAACAAAATAAAAAAGAAGGAGACTTACAAATATAGAGAACAAACCAGTGGTTACCAGGGGAGGGGGCGGGGGAAATCATAGGAGTAGGGGAGTGGGGGGCATAAACTATTGGGTATAAGATAGGCTCAGTGATGTATTCTACAACATGGGGAATATAGGCAGTATTTTGTAATAACTGTAAATGGAGAGTAACCATTAAAAGCTGTATAAAATTTTTAAAAATAGTAAAATTATTCCATTAACAAGTAGTAGATCGTATTCCTTTCTGAGGAGAGGTCTGGGTAGGGGAAATATACGTATCATAGGGTATTGATCGCAATCTTCTTCCATTTCTAAATACTTAGAACCTCCCTTGTTTCTGGAGGTTTCAATGAAATATGATAACAGAAATATTCTATGAGCTCCAAAGCCCAGATGACAAATTCAGATAACACAAAAATTCTTGACTAGTGATGCCAGATAAAATACAACTTTCCACCATCACCAAATATAATTAAATACATTGCTGATCTTGCAAGAAAGAAGGGAAATCCTCAAATATCAAATAAAAATAGATTTGAAAATCAGAGAGGAAAACATATGCTGAAATTTCAGTTTTCTACAGGGATTGATTCCCCAAAATCTGAAGAGATTTATGAAACTACCATTTTTTCCTGGAAAGTCACTGAATAATCAGGCCAATTAAAATACACTATTGGCCGTAACAGCCAAATTCTCCTATATCAGTTGACTGGGAAGAGGCTATACTTTATTAAGTAGGTACTAATCTCCAAAACTGATTCTGAAAATTAGAAATCTTCTCTGTGATGACTTCATAAACAAATACAAACTTTTTCAAGTGGTAAAGCATAATCAAAAGGGAACTATATTCAGTATCTTCTAGTAACCTATAATAAATACGAATATGAAAACAAATATATGTATGACTGAAACATCATGCTGTACACCAGAAACTGACACACAATAAACTGACTATACTTCAATTAAAAAAAATACAATAAAAGTTGTTATCATAAAAACAAAAGTGCCCTCAGCAACTAATGTTATTTGATAACCTTCTTTCTAAGTGCAGACAAGTGTTTATAATTTGTACATGACCTTAGCTGAGGAAAGAAATTATTATACTCTTCTAAAAGAGTTAATCCATAATTGTGACGCTCCTGATTTAAAAACCATCCACACTACTATACTCCACTGCAACTATCCCCTAGAAGTCTCCTGGAGGAAAAGGCAACAGGCATTAATTAAAAACAATTTCAGGGACTAGCTTACTCAAAGGCACAGACATTTAACTTCTAAGCCTTATCCTTACATTTTCCACCACAAAAATGAGAATGATTTACTTTAGATGCTGTGGTTACATGATGTAAACTTACACTGATTTAAGAGTCTTTCAGAAAATTAAGTAAGAAATGCCACTTATTTTCATATTTGCATTCATTTAGCTTCATTTTGTAAATTTATGCTAGAAAATTGTCCAAACTGGTCCCTTCAACCACATGCATAAACAGAGATCGTATCTCACATCATCTTTGAAAATGATGGAGAACATTAATACTGCAACTAGAGACATAGCTCTTCAGTAATTTCAGAATCCTGATGCTAAAAGTACTATTAACAGAAATCTGAGGAGTACTTAGTGAGTCAAAAAGAAACAAAAAATTAAACATCTTTTCCTTAATCAAAACGGAGACATTATCCTCAAACAGACCAGAGCTCTGTACTAAAGCTGGAACTTTCTCCTTCCACTCCTAAGAGAGCTTTGTTGGGTTTTGAAAGTGAAATGGAAAGGTTGTAAATTGTAGGCCAAGCTGTGTGGCTTTTCTCTATGACAGGGAGAAACACAATGGTAATGTGTTATCTATGCAGGCGGCTTCAGTAATTAAAAGCTGCTTTCCAAGGGCTGAAATTTTCTCTACAATTCATGAAAAGAGCTACTAACTGCTCCTTAATCTTCTGTCAACTCCACCCCTTAAAAAACCAGAAATAGGAAAGGCAGAGCTTTAAGTCTTTCTACCTCTCACAGGTCTTGGGAGAATTTCTGTTACTCCTTTCATCCTTCTCCCCTCCTTCCATTGCCCACCCCACTAGTCTACTTTTTTAAAAAGATATATCCTGTGTTTACTTCCCTCTGAGTTTTTATACTTGATCCCCTCTGCCTGGTGTATTCTTCCCCATCCCCTACCCCTTCAGTGTAAAGTCCTACATTGTCTGAGCAGATTCCTTAGAAATCATTAAAAATATAATTATTAATATTATTTATTGACAGAAAGTAATTATAATGTTAATTGAAAAAATCAGGATACAGAATGACATCTATTCTGTGATAATTCTGTAAAACAGGCATGCAGATGGATAAAGACTGGAAAGAAATATGGAACAAAGAAAATAGCTACTCAATAATGAGATGATGAAGGTTTTGTTTTACTTCTTAAACTTTTTACAAAGTAAAATTTTTTTCATAAAAAAAGTTCTGTCCTTTCTTCAAAGTCCAAATGCCATCTTTTCTAAAAGCCTTGACTCATGTCAAACCCCTTCTCTTTGCAAGAGACTCAATCATGTAGCATCAACTACCTGCTATCTTGAATCTGAGGCAATAAGCTAGATGCTTTTCTCCACTATTAAAATTGTGAGATTTTTGAAGCCCAAGAAACATCTTTTTGTTATCTTTGTATCTTCTATAGGAACCAGCAGAATAGCTGGGACACAATAGGGGCTGATAAATTCTTGATTAACAACACTTTTCTGAAGTAGCTGCAAGTAGGAATAAGGTACCAAATTAAAAGTGAGGGAAAGTCTGCACAAACAGTGAGCCCTCAGCCCCCTTCCCTACTTAGGTCCAAAAGAACTGGCTGCCTGACCTACACCCACCAAACAAAAGATCAGAAGACTTCTTTCTGAGGATACTGAGGGGGGCAGGGGGGCAAATACTCAATGTGAGAATCCCACAAAGAAATGGGAGGTTCAGATCATCCTACTGTGAAATACTCTAGTCAACAGTACTGCCCACTCATACAGAGGGCATATGTCAGCCAATGAGGGAAAAATTGGGAAAAAGAAGACAAGAAATTAAGGAAACAGTGGATCCAACACAGAAAA